TATGGGACAATTCCATTGTGGGCCAGTTTAGAAAACTGGAAACCCATTGCTGAGGAGCTGATCAAGTATGCAGCTCCTGTCTATCCTGATGCTGGTACTGAACTTGGTGCTCAAGCATTACGGTTAGACCTGGGAGTATACTCCAAAAAAGTGCGGAAAGCCGCTGCCACCACAGGGTGGATAGTTGTGCAGGCCCTTAGCCGCGAGGTGCAGAGAAATAAAGCGCTCGAGAAAGAGTTGCAGGATGTAAAAGATTTATTAGTTATGACTAAAGAATGTATGTGTAGTAATGCATGCCAGGTGGCTGCCCTAGAAGAAAAATGTACTACTTTAGTGGTAAACAAGATTAACCGCAGGAGGTCACAGAAAGGAAAAAATCCAGTGCCTGTAAGTAAAGTGCGAGCAATGGTTGCAAACCCCATATGGGATCCTGAAGCATCGCTACAGTCATCTGATGATGAGTATGTATCCTTTTCTGATGATGATAATGATGTGGACAGGCGACAAGCCCATCCTATCATTACACAGCAGTGGAAAAGGAGACTACAAGATAGAGCGCGTGGTTTGAGAAATGGTGTACATAAAGAGATGAATGAAGTGGTAAAAAGTTACACACAAACAGAGCTCATGGAGCTGGCAAAGGTGTATAAGCATGAAGTTGGTGAAAATGTGGAAGAATGGTTATTGCGCATGTGGGATGGAGGAGCTGACAGTGTGCAGTTGAATGCAAGGGAAGCATTATGTATGGGGCAGCTGACGCTGCATCCACAGCTCATGCAAGTATTAGGGAGATTGGAGGTAATTTTTCATTATTTGATATGGTGCGGCATGCCATAATTGTGGCCTTCCCATCTAGCAATGACATTGAGCCCATTTCACCCTGGTCAAAACCGAGGGATGCTGTTACCCGCATTAGAGTTATGGGTTGTGTGGTGGGATTAAACAAGGATAACTGGGAAGGTCCAGACATGGAGGAATTCACAGCCAGCATGCGGTCTCGGTTTTTAAAAAGTGCACCCCAGGAAATGAAGGCATCTTTATTGTCTTTGCTGGGCAGTTTGGGGAATAATGTAAAGGTATATCAGCTCACCACTTATTTAGCTGAAACTGGAGAATTAGAGTCAGAATCTAACCCTAGGAAAGGTGTGTTTGCCGCTAACAGGACGAGGGAGGAGATGGTGGAACCAATAGAGGGAGAAAAGCAGGAAAAGTTTAGGAATAAAACAAGGCTGAGAGTTAATCGTTTTCAAATGTGGAATGATTTGATTGAGGCTGGTGTACCTAGAGAACAACATTAATGGAATTTCAACACCTGCCATGTTTGAAAAATGGTTAAAACTAAAAAAAGGGTCTAATAAAAAGGTACAGGTACATTTGGCATGCAAGGATCAGGCAGACAATACCATGCCCTCTGCCCCATTTGTCCCAAAGTCTCCTCCCCCTAGTTATTTAAAAAACAATCCTCTCATGCCTACAGACACAGCTCCTCTGTCCATACCTCTATTCCAACATTGTGCTCCTTATGCTGTGCCCCCACCCTCACTTCAAGCCCAAGATAACACCCCCCCACATTCATATCCACATATGTCCTCACTGTTTCCAACAGAATATTGTGCTAGGACTTACTCTCATACTACATCTAGTGAGAAACAAGCACTGCCAGAGAGTGATGGTAAAGTCAGATCCTTGTATCCTGTAAAAGATCTGATGACACATGATTTGATGGATTGGGACAGTGCTGTTGTACAATGACAGAATGGTGGGCCTCCGGCGGTACATGTGTCCCCTTTAACCGCCGGGGACCGACGCCCTTATGTACCTTTGACTGTGTGGTGGGGGACAAGACCAGGACCAACAAAGATTTTAGCTTTAGTTGACACAGGAGCAGAAGTCACAGTACTGCATGGTAATCCATCAAGGCTATCAGGTCAAGGTTTAGGAGGTAGAATTACCAAAGCAGTACAAACTGTTGTGGCTATGTCAATTAACAAAGGACCAAGATTCAGTGCTAAAGTTTTGATTTCAGAATTGCCAGACAATATCTTGGGAATAGATGTGTTACTAGGGCAGAGTATTGAGACACAGTGGGGGGTGTTCACGTTTGGATTCCCTCATAAGCCATACTATCTCAGACCAGTAAAAGACATTGTGCGAGGGAATGCAAATTGGACACCTGTCATTGTTCCTCCTCCGTGCAACCCGGTAAGACTGAAGCAATACCGTTTGCCCGGAGGATGTCAAGAAATTAGTGAAACTATCGACAAGCTTTTACAGTCAGGTGTAATTCGTCCAGCTGTCAGTCCGTTCAATGCTCCAGTATTCCCTGTAAAGAAGATGGATGGCTCATGGCGAATGACGGTGGATTACCGGGGACTCAACAAGGTAGCACCACCATTGAGTGCTGCTGTCCCTGATATTATCACCATTGTGGGAAACATTGCCAAACAGGCCGGGGAGTGGCATGCGGTAATAGATTTAGCTAATGCGTTCTTTTCAATTCCTATTGCACCTGAGTCGCAAGATCAATTTGCTTTCACTTGGGAAGGACGCCAATATACCTTCCAAGTTGTGCCCCAGGGATATATACACTCACCTACGATTTGCCATGGACTAGTTGCACGGGATTTAAGCCACCACAATCTACATCTTCCAGTGTTTCACTACATTGATGACATCATGATCTCGGGATCTAAAGAGGAAGTGAAAGAAGCATTACATGACTGGACGGGTATGGGCAATAAATAAAGACAAAATTCAAGGTCCAACCAAAGAAGTTAAATTCCTAGGAATGATGTGGTCTGGGCCTGTTCGGAAGATACCTCAGCCTGTGCTGGATACAATCCAGAATTCTCCAGAACCTAAGACGTTAACAGAAGCCCAAAAGTTTTTAGGTGCAGTTGGTTACTGGAGAGCATTTATACCGCATCTAGGATTGCTGCTACGCCCCATATACAATGGTACAAGAAAGAAATCAGCATTTGTATGGGGAATTGATCAAGCTACAGCATTCCAAGTAGCAAAGGAAGCAGTATTACAGCATCAGGGCTTGGGCCCGATTCAAATAGGAGCTCCGTTCATATTGGATGTGATGGTGAACGACAACGTAGCATCATGGGGACTATGGCAACCGAGCAAAGACAAAGGCAAGCGGGCAGTACCAATTGGGTTTTGGTCCAAGCAATTGACTGGGGCTCAGCAAAGGTACACACCTTTGGAGAAGAATCTTCTGGCAGCATACCTCGCACTGCAGCATGTGGAGACAATGACTGAGAAAAGCATAGTATCAGTGAAAACAGATTTACCAATAGCAGGATTGGTACGAGATGAAGGATTATCTGCAAAGACAACAGTGGCACAAAGTCAGACATTATTAAAATGGAAGTGGTACCTGCAGGAAAGAGGAGGGATCCAAGCAGGTGAAGTGAAGGAACTGACCAAACTCCTTACTGGGTTAGTGACATATGATACACTTTCACATCCCAATGTACAAGAAGTCCCAATTTTACAGCCCTCACCCATCAAGACAGCTCCTTCATTCAGAGAACTGGGTGAAGAACAAAAGAAAAACGCATGGTTCACAGATGGGTCTGCAATCATGACCCACAAAGGACGACATTGGACTGCAGTAGCTTACAACCCTCAGCAACAAATTGGGATTCAAGAGAAGGGAATAGGAGGATCTAGTCAATATGCTGAATTGACTGCCATAGTCATACTGATGGAAGAAACCACAGATCCAGAGCTCTACATCTATACAGATATCTGGGCTGTGTACAAGGCTTGTGTTACATGGATGCCTATATGGAGAAACAACAGGTGGCAAATACATGGCAAGACAGTATGGGGAGGAGAAGATTTATGGGAAAATATATGGAAAACAGCCCAATCAAGATTAATACACTTCGGACATGTTAATGCCCATGTGAAAGACAGTACTGGAGAAGAGAACGCGAATAAGATAGCCGATGAATTGACCCGAATACGAGAAGCAAAAATAACACCAGAACCTGTTGATCCAGTATTACTTAGGATGGCAGACTGGGCCCATGAGACCGCGGTCATAGAGGAAAAGCAGCTACGCTAGAGTGGGCGCGAGCCCGAGGACAACCAATAACTCTCCAGATGATTGTCCAAGCTCAAGAAGTATGCGAGACCTGCAATGAGGTTAAGAAATGGCCCCTCACGAAGCAAGCCCATGGACATTTAAATAAAGGAACAATAGCAGGACAGATGTGGCAGATGGACTACATTGGTCCCATGCCTAAAGGAAGAGGGGGGGCTGATGTATAGTTGTACTGCTGTAGACACCTTTTCCGGAATTCTGAAAGTATTACCCTGCAAACATGCGAACCAGGCCTCAACACTTCAGATGCTACAGACTCTTGTGATTGCTTATGGACTGCCATCTGAGATTCAGACAGACAATGGAACCCACTTCACTGGACAGCTCGTACAGCAGTGGGCAAATGACTCAGGGATTAAGTGGATCTTCCACATCCCCTATCATCCTCAAGCTTTGGGGTTGATTGAAAGGTGCAATGGGCAGATTCGGAAGAACAGATTCGGAAGCTATCCCCAAGTAGGACATTGAGGGGGTGGGACCGGGTGATCACGCAGGCAGTTATGATACTAAATAGTAGACCAATAGGGCAGTTTTCACCTTATGAAAGATTAACTGGACAGGTAGGGACACCAACTGTGTCAGTTCGATTAAGGTTCAAGGGATCTTTCCCCCAACAGGTGGGGAAGAACATAGAAACATAGAAACATAGAATGTGACGGCAGATAAGAACCATTCGGCCCATCTAGTCTGCCCAATTTTCTAAATACTTTCATTAGTCCCTAGTCTTATCTTATAGTTAGGATAGCCTTATGCCTATCCCACGCATGCTTAAACTCCATCCATGCATCCACTACCCTCTCAGTAAAATAATAAAGTGGTCAGCCAGAACCTAGTTGAGATTGTACAGGGTGATGAATGGATGACATACATCCTTCCCATGGGTGGGATATTACCAGAAGGGACTGAAGTGACCTTTGCCCTAACAGAGGAGCTAAGAGATGATAAATGGTTGACCATAGGGATGGTAAATATGTTATCAGATTTGTGGGAAATCCCATTGACCAGGGGGTGTCCAGGCCAGATTTTCTCACACACTGTATTAGGCGTGGTATCCATTTGGATCCCACGGAAAGTATTAGTGACATGGGAGGAAAGCAATACCTTACAGACAGGTTCCAAAGTATGGGTGCTATCACGAGCAGGTGAGCAGGTCAAACAGAAGGGAGAAATACTGTCCAATGGACCTGGTGACACTAAAGTTGTATTACTAAGTGGAGGTACTCACCCTGTTTTCTTTCCTTCCAACAGATTGGTGGCTATAGAGACAAGTCGGATCCCTGGTCCTCCAACTCATACCTGAATCTATTAGCAAGTTATTCGAGAGTGTCAAACAGCACGGATTGCTGGATTTGTGGGACAATATCATTCAGCGAGGAGAGCAGTTACCCATATGTTGGTATTCCATGGACATTGGAGGAGTTAAAACAATATAATAATACAGGATTCGTCTGGTACCGAGAAGAAGGAAAGCCACAATCATTGGACAGATTGCATATTATAAACCGCCCCCAGGAAGGTGCTATTTGTATCAGTTCACATAACAACGGAGCCAATGCCACTAAAATGGGATATTCTAACTGTACATCTGCCTGGGTATAGGGCTATGGTAATGAACAACATTGGGCAATGACTGTCAAAGACTCCAGCCCAGTGGTGAGAGTAATACGTATGACCTCTCATGGTGCAATAAAAAGACTGAGCTTTCCCTTTATTTCTATACTCCTGGACACTTGTTTTAGTGGGGCCCCAGATAATAGTTACAGTGTTCTTCCCAGAGGTGTATATTTTCTGTGTGGTAATTGGGCCTATAGATGGTTACCTACTCAATGGGAAGGAGAATGTTACATTGGATCAATCATCTCCGCCATAAGGCATAGAAATAGCTTTCCAGAAGGCATGATTAGAAATAAACGGTGGTGGGGGGGGCGTGGCCGACCACAGAGCTGAACAGTCGCATGTCTGTGGAGCTCTGCATCGGCCCCACAGACTAAGAGCCTTACAGAGCAGAAATCAGCTCCAAAAACGCGCAGATTACCTGCCACCCGACAGCCGACAACATGGGGCGCAAACATAGAAAGCAGACTCACACGGAGCGTCCCGCGGCACCCGATATCAGGCTGGCATTTCAGAGGCCTACACAGGCGCGGCCCGCCAAGATGGCGCCGGAACCGCAGAGTGAGTTGGAGACCTCTGACGATTCCCAGGAAGAGAGGGACTCCCAAGCTTCCCTCCCAGGCCCCACTCCCAGGTCTGACTCGGAGGATGATGACTCCCCATCAACAAAAGGGGACATCAGAAGGCTGCTGACTGACCTAAGGCAGGTCTGGAAGGCCGACTTAAAGGAGACACATGCAGAAATAGGGGTCTTGCAGCAGAGAGTCCAGGAGGTGGAAAACAGAGAAAGCTCAAGAGATCACCAAATCCAAGACACCAAACTGCAACTGGAGGGTCTTACTGAGCAGGTCCGACGCCTACAAGGAGCGGTGGTAACACTTGAAACTAGACACCGCCGACGCAACGTACGCCTCAGAGGTATTCCTGAAACGGTGAGCGGTGAAGAATTACTGCCCTTTGTCCGGAGACTCACCTCCTCCATGGGCCTTGGATGTAAATCAGACACCCCACTGATACTGTCCACCTTCAGGGTGCGCAAGTCGCCAGCGGCACCCGCGGGGGCCCCCAGAGACACCATAGCCACCACCAGAGACATAGCGGCGAGAGCTGCAATCATGGCCGGATCCAGATCATTGGGCTCGGTAAAATTTGAGGGATGCGAGGTGGCCATTTACAGTGACCTCCCTTTTGCAGTGCTTGCAGCAAGGAGACTACTAGCACCAGTCACTAAGAGACTGAGAGACCATTCGATCCGGTACCGATGGGGCGCAGAGGGATCGCTAACGGTACAAAAAGGCGCCGATATACTCACCCTGACCTCGGGAGACGACCCAGAGGCATTCCTCAAAAAATTAGGCATATCAGCCAATGGACACAGAAAGCAACCTGAGAAACGCAACACTTAAATACAATAATAATGACGCTTTATTTTTATTTTTATTTTATTTTACTTTTATTGTATGCATATAAGCCAATGAGGAAAGCCTCTCACTATTCTTGCTTCCCCTAACCCAACACTACATGCTATTAACCTATAGCCCGACCCCACATATATATATATGGGATATACAGATGAGCCGGAAGATTGTTGAAATCTAACAACCTCGAATATTAAGCAACCTCTTTAAGTAGTGATCTCCGTAGAAGAGTAGAAATGTACAAACTGTTCCCCCACCATGCCGCAGCAAGGGTCTCTCTGACATTGTGAATGTTACACTGCTTGTAGCCCAACGAAAGGTTATTTGATTCTGTTCTACCCTATATAATAACACATATAATGGAAAATTGTATACTATGTGTATAAAACCTAATAAAATACAAATTAAAAAAAAAAAACGGTGGAGTTCATTTATCGGAGAACATGAAGCTAATTCTGGAATTGTATTTCCCGGCTGGGGAGTATATTGGTCATTAACTCGAATAGAAGCTTTAAAAAAGCTAGTGGATGAAGCTTTAGATGCAACCGTGGATGCTATTAACAAACTATCCCAAGAGCAGGTACAAATGAGAGCAGTGGTATTGCAAAATAGACTGGCATTAGATTATGTCTTGGCCGCCAAAGGAGGCGTTTGTGCGTTGTTAGGGACAGAGTGCTGCTCATATATTGTCAATAACTCTGGCGCAATAACACATGATATTTCAAAGAGAAATGATACCAGGAAGAAGCTCCAGAATCCACCAGATAGTGGACCTTTTGGGTGGTTGGGTAATTTAGGGTTTAAAGTAATGCAATGGGTAGTAGTGGGTGTTGTTTTATGTATAATATTGTATTTGTTTGTAAATTTGATTATATGTGTGGGAAAGCAAGCTATGAAGAAAGTAAGACCTATCCGGGAAATATATGAGTTATAGTTATTACTCATGTAATGGGATCAACAGGTGGATTGTATTGGTTATGGGCAATGATAAATGTTCTATTATTGTGTTCCCATTCATGTGCAATAACTTATGATACCTATAGGGGGTGTAGTGAGCTATGTGACATTAAGAGCAAGAAGATGGCTGCTGCATATTTAAGACATGTGCTTTAGGGAGGAAGTGACCTATAGGTGGCCTAGTGAGCACTGTGACTTCAAGTGAATAAAGATGGCTGCCGCATAGTCAATGAGACATGTGCTTTAGGAAGGTATTGAGAATTCTTAAGTCACTTCCTTTCACAAAGGACCACATGTAGTATCCGCCTCCTAGAGATGACCATTAGGTATTGGTTATGTTACCTCTGTGGGTGGATACTAGATGGGAAGTTATTCAAGGGGTTTCCAGAAACTAGAGTTTCAGTTTCATGGCTGGGTCGGAAGAAGCCAGGTGTCTTTAGAGGTGCCCATGTAAATCCATTTAACATGTGGCAAGGAACTCACCTCATTGTTCTGTGTGTTATGCTGATTCAATTATCCTGTGTAAGCTGCTGAATCTCCATGAATAGAGCTAAGTAGATTTCTTACCTGAATGTATTGTTTATAGCAGTGTGTGTTTTTAAAGTATTTGTTTTTTGTGTGCTTGATAATTGTATTCCCAGTAAAGTTTTGTTTATACTTTCATCAAAACTTTGCGTCTTGTCTGTTCATTCAAGATATTCACTAATATTTATGTGATTGACCAGTATACCTTTTATTATTTTATTTGTGGTATTATTTAAACCCTAGTTTCACCACTAGGGTTTTATCAAAATGGATAAAACCCTAGTGGTGAAACGCGTTAATGGTTTTAAATATTGTGTAATTTATATAATAAATGATTTTTGGCTAGATTTCTGCGCCAAAACCATTAACGCGTTTCACCACTAGGGTTTTATCAAAATGGATAAAACCCTAGTGGTGAAACACGTTAATGGTTTTAAATATTGTGTAATTTATATAATAAATGATTTTTGGCTAGATTTCTGCGCCATAACCTTTTTACACACTATTTTACTTTCCTGGCAAATTATTCATTTTTTAACACTTATCCCGAGGTGGGGATTATACCACCAATGCTACTATTAGCGTGCAGTGACGTCTGCACTCTATTTGTGAGTATATTTTATTTTATTTTATTCAATATTACGTCACATCATCAGAGAGCACTATTTGCTGTTTTTATTCTCCCCTTTTCCTGAGAATTGGACACCATTATCGTCTGGAGGACAAGCACCCACATATCCCATAAGCGGGGATCATTCTGCTGTATGGCTGTTATACCTGAGCTGGCCATAGCTCATTGAAATGTGAGTGTTTCATTTATATTTTAATTTATTTATTATTCATCCTATACACTCTGCACGATTGGTCCTTTCCCTTTGTGTCTTCCACGAGACGATTTGGACTACTAGAAACATAGAAGACACTCGACCAGCAAATACAGTGACCAAGTCTATTTTAACCTCAGACATTCCTATTAGACTTTTTTAGATATTTATATTATTATATATATTTTTTTTCTTTTATTGTATTTTTAGTACTATTTATTACGGCGCATCCTTTTTTCTCCTTGTTGCACAGTTTAAATAGAGAGGGTGAGAGGGCTACCCTCTGTAAGGTTGCTGCCTCTTTACCGTATTATTAGCTCTAACCTACCCCATTTTATCTTTTTACACTGCACCAACAGCTTGGGATACCAGGAAATTGAGCCATGAGGAGACTCTCGGAATGCTCCATGAAGTCCACCTTGTCCAGTCAACCATCACTGACAACCGACAACGTTGTCAGCTGGTGATGGTAAATGGGAAAACTGCCCGAGGCCTCAGGGACACTGGCGCCACCATCACTTTGGTCCAGAGGCACTTAATTGACAACTCTGAATGTCCTGGGAAATCCGTTGCTGTCCGCGTGGCCGGGGGAGCTATATACCGGATCCCCACCGCCCAGGTCCACCTAGATTGGGGCGCTGGAGCAGGCAACATTAATGTGGGAGTCATGAAAGACTTGCCCGCAGAAGTATTACTGGGCAATGACATCAGCCCATTGATCTTCTCGGTTATACTCACACCCACTCAAGGTGCCCAAGCCGTGACTACCAGAGCCCAAAGCTGTGCCACCTCTCACTGAGACCCAGGTCCCTGACTATAGAAACCCTTCCCTGGGATACCCCAGAAGACTTTGGGAGGGAAGTAGTGGGGGAAATACAAGGAAAAGGCTAGAGTAGGCCGGGGGGGGGGGCTAGAGGGAGAACAGTTAGTCTGGCAGGGTGGCCCATTGTACAGGCTTACGGCGTTCCGGGTCAACGCACCCGGACCTCGGCAAAAACGCCAACTGGTGATTCCCAAGATATACCAGCGGTAGTTATTGCAAATAGGACATGATGTACCATTAGCAGGGCATTTGGGAATACGTCAGACATTATACCAGGTAACCCAGAATTTCTTCTGGCCTGGGTTATCCGATGACGTCCGGAGTTATTGCCAGACCTGTGAGGTATGTCAGAGAGTAGGCAAGAAGGGAGACAACTCTAAGCGATTTATCCTTACTGTAGTGGACTATGCCACCAGATACCCGGAGGCAGTAGCTGTC